TGCTGCTGTAAACTTAGGGGTGCATGTATCCTTTCAAATTAATGTTTTTGTATTCTTTGGGTAGACACCTAGTAGTGTAATTACCACATCATAGGGTAATTCTTTCATTTTTGAGGAACCTCCATAGTGTTTTCGAGAGTGGATGCAGCAATTTGTATTCCCACCAACAGTGCATGAGGGTTCCCTTTTCTCCATATCCTCCCAGCACCTTTTGTTTCTTGTGTTGATTTTAGCCATTGTGACAGGTGTGAGGTGTTATCTCATTGTAGTTTTGATTTTCATTTTCCTGCTGATGAGCACTATTGAACATGTTTTCATGTGTCTGTTGGCCATCCACATGTCTTCTTTGGAAAAGTGTCTGTTCATGTCTTCTGCCCATTTTTTAGTTGAACTATTTGTTTTTTGGGTGTTGAGTGGTTCTTTTGGGTACTATTTACTGGATATGTCATTTGCAAATATCTGTCCCATTCCATAGGTTGTCTTTTATTTTGGTGATTGTTTCCTTCGCTGTGCAGAAGATTTTTATTTTGATGAAGTCCCAGTAGTTTATTCTTGCTTTTGTTTTCCTTGCTTCGAGAGACATATTAGAAAAATGTTGCTATGGCTGATGTTAGAGAAATTACTGCCTGTGTTCTCTTCTAGGATTTTTATGATTTCAGGTCTCACATTTAGGTCTTTCATCCATTTTGAGTTTATTTTTGTGTCTGGTGTAAGCAAGTGGTCCAGTTTCATTCTTTTGCATATTGCTGTCCATTTTTCCCAACAGCATTTGTTGAAGAGAGTGTCTTTTTCCCATTGCATATTCTTACCTGTTTTGTCGAAGATTAATTGACCATATAATCTTGTTTTTCGGGGGGCTTTCTGACTTTTCTGTTGATGTATATGTCTGTTTTGGGGCCAGTACCACACCATTTTGATTACTGCAGCTTTGTAGTATACCTTGAAATCTGGAATTGTGATACTACCTGCTTTATTTTTCTTTTTCAAGACTGTTTGGCTATTTGGAGTCTTGTAGTTCCATAGAAATTGTAGGATTATTTGTTCTAGGTCTGTGAAAAATGCTGTTGGTATGTTGATTGGGATTGCATTAAATCTGTAGATTGTTTTGGGTAGTATGGACATTTTAACACCATTTGTTCTTCCAATCCGTGAGCATGGAATATTTTTTCATTTGTGTCATCTTCAATTTCTTTCATCAGTGTCTTATAGCTTACAGAGTACAAGTCTTTCACCTCCTTTGTTAAGTTTATTCCTAGGTATTTTATTATTTTTGGTACAATTGTAAATAGGATTGTTTTCTTAGTATCTCTTTCTGCTGCTTTATTATTAGTGTGTAGAAATGCAATGGATTTCTGTACATTGATTTTGTATCCTGCAACCTTACTGAATTCATTTATCAGTTCTAGTAGTTTTTTTTTTTTTTTAAAGATTTTATTTATTTATTTATTTATTTGACAGAGCACGAGAGCGGGGTGGGGGGGGGGGGGGAGTGGAAGAGGGAGAAGCAGTCTTCCCTCTGAGCAGGGAGCCCAATGCGGGGCTCGATCCCAGGACCCTGGGATCATGACCTGAGCCGAAGGCAGACGCTTAACGACTGAGCCACCCAAGTGCCCCAGTTCTAGTAGTTTTTTGGTGGAGTCTTTAGGGTTTTCTATATATTGTATCATGTCATCTGCAAATACTGAAAGTTTTACATTTTTCTTACTAATCTGGATGCCTTTTATTCCTTTTTCTTGCCTGATTGCTGTGGGTAGGACTTTGAGTACTGTGTTGAATAAAAGTGGTAAGGGTGGACATCCTTGTCTTGTTCCTGATCTTAGGGGGAAAGCTTTCAGTTTTTCACCATTGAGTATGATATTAGCTCTGGGTTTTTCATATATGGCTTTATTATGTTGAGGTATGTTCCCTCTAAACCTACTTTGTGGATGGTTTTTTATCATGAATGTATGTTATACTCTGTGAAATGCTTTTTCTGCATCTATGGAAATATCATATGGTTTTTATTCTTTCTGTTGTTGATGTGATCTGTCATGTTGATTGATGATTGCTTTGTGAATATTGAACCACCCTTGCTTGCAACCCAGGAATAAATCCCACTTGATGATAGTGAATGATTTTTTTAACGTATTGTTGGATTTGATTTGCTGATATTTTGAGGATTTTTACATCTGTGTTCATCAGAGATACTTGTAATTCTTGTGTTTTTGTAGTGTCTTTATTTAGTTTTGGGATCAGGGTAATGCAGGCCTCATAGAATGAATTTGGAAGTTTTCCTTCTATTTTTTGGAATAGTTTGAGAAGAATAGATATTAACTCTTCTTTAAATGTTTGGTAGAACTTACCTATGAAGCTGTCTGGTCCTGGACTTCTGTTTGTTGCGAGTTTTTTGATTACTCATTCAATGTCATCACTGGTAATCAATCTGTTCAAATTCTCTATTTCTTCCTGATTCAGTTTTGTTGGGAGTTTATAGGTTTCTAGGATTTTATCCATTTCTTCTAGGTTGTCCAGTTTGTTGGCATATAATGTTTCATAATATTCTCTTATAATCCTTTGTATTTCTGTGGTATTAGTTTTTAATTCTCCTTTCTTTTCTAATTTTATTTGAGTCTTCTCTCTCTCTCTGTCTTTCTTGATGAGTCTAGCTAAGAGTTTATAAATTTTGTTGATCTTTTCAAAGAACCAGCTCCTGGTTTCATTGATCTGTTCTATTGTTTGTTTGTTTTAGTTTCTGTTTCATTTATTTCAGCTATAATCTTTATTATTTCCTTCCTTCTACTGGTTTTGGGTTTTGTTTGTTCTTTTTCTAGTTCCTTTAAATGTATGATTGGTTGTTTGAGATTTTTCTTGTTTCTTGAAGTGGTCCTGTATTGTTTTGAACTTCCCTCTTAAAACATCCCAGAGATTTTGGACTGTTGTGTTTTCATTTTCATTTTTCTCCATGTATTTTCTTGATTTTCTCTTTGGTTTCTTGGATGACATATTCATTGTTTGGTAGTATGTTATTTAACTTCCATATATTTGTGTTTTTTCCAGATTTTTTTCTTGTGGTTGATTTTTAGTTTCATAGCATTGTGGTCAGAAAAGATGCATGGAATGACTTCAGTCTTTTTGAATTTGTTGAAATTTGTTTTATGGCCTAATATGTGATCTGTTCTGGAGAATGTTCCATGTATATTCGAAAAGAATGTATATTCTGCTGTTTTATGAAAGGATGTTATGAAAATATCTGTTAAATCCAGATATCTTGGTTTTTTTTTTTTTTAAAGGTTTTCTTTATTTATTTGACAGAGAGAGACACAGCGAGAGAGGGAACACAAGCAGGGGGAGTGGGAGAGGGAGAAGCAGGCTTCCCGTGGAGCAGGGAGCCCGATGCGGGGCTCGATCCCAGGACCCTGAGATCATGACCGGAGCCAAAGGCAGATGCTTAACGACTGAGCCACCCAGGTGCCCCCAGATATCTTGGTTCTTAATAATAGTAATATAACTGTCATATCCTACATTGCACATAAAATGGTTTTAAAATTATAATTTATTTTCACTAACAAGGATACCGAATGAAGTTCAATATGTCTTTGTATCTCATTTTATCTAAAGATCAGTTAGAAAAATTATTCTCTTGTAGTTTTGTTTCCAATTTGATAAACATATATATTTGGGGACACTTATTTGCAACTTAAGGGATTGCCCTCCCTCTTTTTGATTATGTAAGATGTTTATACATGATTCAAAAGTAGAAACTGACTTGCTTCCATCCCTTCTACCCTGTCCTTTCCCTCCTGCAGAAGTCACCATTTTTACTGTTCCTAGTTCATCTTTTCAGTGATTCTTTTGGAGATGGAAACAAACTCATACCTAAGTGCTAAGCCTTGTCAGGAAGCCCTTTTTTCTGCCTCTAGCCCTGTGCTTCCTAGAATTCAACATGCTTTGTCTTCTAATGTATTTCTCTCACATTTACATATTTTGTTGTTAATTTCTGGAATAAGAGCTGAATGCTTCCCTCTTACTGTGTAGTAGCCTTTCTCCCTTCTCGGTCCTTTCCCTCTAGTTGTCTGGATCTCTCCTCTATTCTCCCCTCCTCCCCTCTTTCCTCCCCTCCCCTCCCATCCTCTGTCTCTATCTGTCATTCCTCTCACTACCGTAATCTTCTGTGTTGAGCAATTTGGGCACTATTTTTAGCACTTTTCTCTCAGAGCAAAGATCTGTGTGTCTGGAAAGGACTGTTTGCCAGTTATTTTTCAAATTCCCATGTTCTTAGGTAGCCACAGTGCTGTCAGGTCACTTAGTGACTTTGGGATTGTTCTCCCATTGGGGGCACACATTATTGGTGACTTTGGGGATCTGCAGTGTGTGGCCCGTCAGAATCTTTCCTCATTGCTCACTCTTCTCTCCTGGGATCTGTCCTCTGCTCTGGGGTCACCTCTGCATATATCTTGATGTTTGTAAAGAGACCCTGTCACCTAGACCGTGTTGGTTTGGTGTCGATGTCTATGGGCTGTTTCTTGTACCATTGTGATTGTTCTCATTTGCATTCATTGGGAGTTCTTGGGAGATTAAAAAACTACACTGCTACCTGATGCCACCCTACTCCCAGTGTTCACCACAGCAAAAAGTAAGACTCCGTGAGAGAGAGTAAGTGAATTGTTGATGGACATCTAAATAGTGAGGGAAGAAATTCTAACTCATTCTGGCTCATTTGAAATCTACGGCTTGTATACACCCAGCCTAAGAGTTGTTGCTCTCTAGCATCTGGCATTGTGTTATTTAAGTGACTGCTTGAAGTTGTTCAACTCTTAGGGTGGCTGCTGCAACTGTGCAGAGTGTGGGGAGGGGACTGTCATCATTGTGCTGGGTTCTGCCCCACAGCGACACTGAACACAGCGTGCAGAACATCCAGCCTGGTCTCCCGTGAGTGTGTTCACCAACAGAAGAGACTGTGGTTGGGGCCTAGCGGAATGCTGGTCATTAAAGCGAATTTGCTCTTGTGTCCACAGGTTCCACCTCTCCAGGAGCAAGAGAATTCATGCAACAGAGCCAGAGAGCTGCAAGGTCAAGAATCCGTCCTGGGTAAAGGGACTCCTGACCACAGGCTTCTCCCTGGAGGACCCTGGCAAAGACACAAGAATCACAGGACAGAGCAGGTTCTAGAGTGGCTGTTTATTTCCCAGGAGCAGCCAAAAACCACCCAGTCTCGAGTGAGTTGTTTGCTTGTTTATTCCTGCTGCTTTTCTTCAGTACTTCTCTCTCTCTCTCTCTCTCTCTTTTTTTTTTTTTGGTGGGGAGAGGGATGGAGATCCTTAGGGTTAAGTTAATCGCTTTTCAGTTCATAGTCTGTAATCATCAATGGTTTGTGTAAGGTCCCTATCTATCTTTATTACATATTTTCTGATTTCCCCATACTCAATTTCAGTCTCCTTCCCCACCCCCCCCAAAATTACTTTGTTCTTTATGGATTTCTTTTGTTTATATGTGTTCACAAAATATGTATTGTTATTGCTGTGTATGTATTTTTAATTTATGTTAATGGTGTGGCACATGTATCTTGCTATGTTGTTTATATTTTTCAGTAAGCACTTTGTTTCATTAAATACCCATGCTCTTATCTTTACCAGCTCATGCTAGGAGAGCAGTTATTTGAGTGTTCCATTTACTTCACATTCTTGGCCAACAATTTCTATTGTTAGTCTTTTGAATTTGATCCATTCCGGTGGTGGTATGGTGGTGTCTCTTCATGGGTTTAATTTGCATTCCCTGCTGGCTAAAGAGGATGAGTACCTTTTGTCATGTTTATTTGACATTTTGTTACCTTTGGTTTTTCTTTTTTCTTACTCGTTTAAATGAATTTTTTTATGTTCTGGAAGCTTGTTAGAAATGCAGAATATCATGTCCCACCTCAATCCTGTTATAATTGACTCTTCATCTTAACAAGATTCAGTGATGCATGCACATGAAAGCTTAAAACTATCTTGATACCAAATCCATATTCAAATTTTACCTGGGGTGCTTCTTTTGCCTCCAATATTGTGTTATAAAAATTTTCAAACAGAGGGCAAAGTAGAAAGGATTTTAGCAAACCTCTGTGTACCCATCACCCAGAATTTACCATTAACATTTTACTATACTTGCTTTATCACATTATCTGTCTTTGTCTCTCTCTCTATGCATCCATTAACCCATCTTATTTTTGGTGCATTTCTTAATATATTTCAGATATCATCATGCCTCCTCTAAATATTTCAGTATGAATAGCATTAACTCTTGTTCAATATATTTTTTTTTGCTTCCGTTTTCATTCTGTTAATGCTGTCTTTTGATGAACAGATATTTCTGATTTTAACTTATTCTGATTCATAAATTTTTTTATTGCTTGTGCTTTTTTGTGTCCAATTTAAGTACTTTTTTCTTATCTGAAGCTCATGAAGACATTTTTCTTTGTTATTATTTTACCTTTCACATTTAGATTTATAATGTATCTAGAATGAATTTTTATGTTTGGTGTGGGTGGGAGTCAAAGATTTATTTTTTTCACAGAGCTATCCAATTATCCTGGTCCCAGTGAAGTGATTGATTCGAACCTCTGGCTCTTCAGTGCCACCTTTGTCATGTGTCAGGTGTCCATAAGTATGGTTTGGTTTCCTAACTCTTCATTCTGTTCCATTGGTGTCATGAGCACACTATGAAGGTGCACACGGGTTGTGTCAGCTTTATTCAGTTAGAAAATAAGGCCTACATAATTGTGAAGCAGGTTCAGGATTTCAAACTCAATGACATTTCATTTAACAGAGCAAAGCATAGTACAGAGTCACACAAGAAACAAGATACAGCAAGGAGTAAGAAGTGAGCGAACCAAACGCAGAGTCTGTGCGTGAGTGCACAGTTGAGATGAGGCCCCGGTCTGGCCCAGGTCACTCTTGCCACATGCTCCTGACTGTGTTCAAGCTGTGGAGAATCTGTTCTGCTCAGAGATCAGGTGGGCAGAGCCTGCGGCAGCAGCACTTCCCTTTCTGATACGCTCAGACACGAATGAGACAGTGTGCTGCAAAATCTTCTTGTTAAAGGCGTTCAATCAGGGGTGCCTGGGGGGCTCAGCGGGTTAAGTGTCCGACTCTTGGGTTCGGCTCAGGTCAGGGTCTCAGGGTCTTGGGATCAAGCCCTCCATCAGGCTCCATACTCAGCGGGGATTCTACTTAAGATTCTCTCTCCCTCCCTCTGCCTCCCCCCACCCCACCCCGTGTTCTCTCTCTCTCTCAATATATGAATCTTTAAAAGAGTTTAATCAGTCTTGGACCTCTGCTGGCCTCTTCTTGTTCTGCTGGTTTTCATTTCTGGTTGCTGGTTTCCATGATACCTGGTCTTAACAGCAACACCCTTGGTGCTTGCATTACCATTTTATACAAGTGAGTCCATCTTGCTGTCTACACTTGGTCCACTTTTCTGTCCTTTGGCCAGTATCACACTATCTTTATTTATAGTAAGTCTTGATATCCAGATGCTTCCAGTTTTTGGTGATTACAAATGCTGCCAACATTCATCTATGGGTTTTGTGTAGACATGAGTTTTCCCATCATTTGGGTAAATACCTAGGAGCATGATTGCTGGATTGTATGGTAACAGTGTATTTATCTTTGTAAAAAACTGTCTTCCAAATTGGCTGTGCAATTTTGCACTCTTACCAGCAGTGAATAGAGTTCCTGTTGCTCCTCATCCTGGCCACTGCTTGGTATTGTCAGGTTTGTAAAAATTTTGCCATACTAATACATGTGAAGTGGTATTTCATTGTGGTTTTATATTGCATTTCCCTATAGCTAGTATTATTATCTTTTATGTTTTGCTCTCTGAATATCTTTGGTGAAGTATCTGTTCTGTGTCTGATCGTTTCCCCATTTTATAATTGGGTTGTTTTCTTGCCATTGATTTTTTTTTTTTTTAATATATAATTACATTTTGTTTTTGTTTTTTTTAAAATATTTTTTATTTATTTTTATTTGACACAGAGACAGAGATAGTGAGAGAGAGAGCATAAACGGGGGGAGCGACAGGCAGGCAGAGGGAGAGGGAGAAGCAGGCTTCCCGCCGAGCAGGGAGCCCGATGCGGGGCTCAATCCCAGGACTCTGGGATCATGACCTGAGCCAAAGGCAGCCGCTTAACCGACTGAGCCACCCAGGCGCCCCTTGCCATTGATTTTTAAGAGTTCTTTACATATTCGAGATTCAAGTCCTTCATCAGAAAAGTGATGTGTAAATGTTTTCTCCCAGTCTCTGGCTTGTCTTTTCATTTTTGTAACACTGACTTTCACAGAGCAAGTATTTTAATTTTGATAAATTCCATTTTCTCAATTTTGTTTTTTAGAATGGATTGAGTTTTAGATGTCATATCTAAAATCTCATTGCTTGGGTACCTGGCTGGCTCTGGGTCATGAATTCAAACCCCACACTGGGTGTGAAGCCTACTGAATAAAATGAACAAATAAAAATAAAATCTCATTGCCCAAACCAAAGTACACAAATTTTCTCTTGTATTTCTCTAGACTTTTATAGTTTTAGCTTTTACATTTAAGTCTATGATCCACTTTTAGTTAAATTTTGTAGAGGGTTGGGTTATGTGTTGAGGTTTTTTTAAAAATTTTTTTAAAGATTTTATTTATTTATTTGACAGAGAGAGAGCGAGCACAAGTAGGGGGAGTGGCACGCAGAGGGAGGAGAAGCAGACTCCCTGCTGAGCAAGGACCCTGAGATCATGACCTGAGCCAAAGGCAGACACTTAACCAGCTGAGCCACCCAGGCACCCTTCAGGTTTATTTTTTATGTCTATGGATGTGCAGGTGTTCCCTGCGCCATTTGTTGAAAAGATTTTCCTTTCTACATTGAATTGCCTTCATGTCTTTGTTTAAAAAAAAAAAAATCAGGAGACAGTGTTTATATGGGTCTATTTCTAGGCTCTGTTTTCTGTTTCATTCCTCTTGTGTCTGATCTTTCACCAGCATCACACTGTCTTGATTTTATAGGAAGTCTTAAAATGGGCTACTGGGAATACTTCGCCTTTGTTCTTCAGAATTGTTTTGGCTATTTTTTTTCTCTGCCTTTCCATATTAATTATAGAAGAGCTTGTGGATAGCTACAAAAAAACTTTGCTAAGATTTTAGAGTAAGTTTTTATATATGATGTTAGGTAAGGATCCAACTTCATTCTTTTTGTGGATATCGAGTTTTCCTAGCAGCATTTGAGACAATCTTCCTTTCCCCGTCATGTGGTATTGACACCATTGTCAAAAATCATTTGACCATATATGCAAGGGTTTATTTCTGGACTCTCTATTCTATTCCATTGATCTGTATGTTAATCTTTATGCCAATACTACTTTGCTGTAATTACTGTAGCTTTGTACTAAGTGTTGAAATAAGGAAATGTGAGTCCTTCAGCTTTGTTCTTTTTCTATATTGTTTTGGTTATTCAGGGTCCCTTGGGATTCCATACGAATTTTAGGATGGGCTTTTCTGTTTCTGCAAAAAAAGTATCAGTGGGATTTTGACAGGGATTATATTGAATATGTAAATCACTGTGAGTAGTATTGGCATCTTAATGATAAGCCTTCCAATCCGTGAACATGTAATATGTTTCCATTTATTTATGTCTTTTTAAATTTCTTTCAGCGAAGTTTTTTAGTTTTCGTTCTATAACTCATTTACCTCCTTGGATAAGCATTTATTCTGTTTGATGCTATTATAAATGGAATTGTTTTCATAATTTGCTTTTCAGGTTCATCATTGTTCATGTATAGAAAGGCAACTGATTTTTGACATTGTATGCTGCTACTTTGCTGAATTCATTTGTGTGTGTGTGTGTGTATCTTTAAAGTTTTCTACATATAGGATCATATCATCTGTGAACAGAGATAATTTTACTTCTTCCTTTCCAATTTGAAAGACTTATTTCTTTTCGTTGCCAAATGGCTCTGGCTAGAACTTTCAGTACTCTGTTGAATAGAAGTGGTGAAAGCAGGCATTCTTGCCATGTTCCTTATCTTAGAGGAAAAGCTTTCAGTCTTTGACCGTTGAGAATGATGTTTGACTTTTTTTTGTTGGGAGTTTTTTGATTACTAATTCAATGTCATCACTGGTAATCAGTCTGTTCAAATTTTCTATTTCTTCCTGATTCACTTTTGGGAGATTATATGTCTCTAGGAATTTATCTATTT